AATATTAGATGAAAAATGTAAACTTATTTTTAATTTTACACTATAACAGCATTAAAGGCTATATACTAAAATGAAAAATAATATGATTTAAAATAGTCTCAACAGCAATACCTAAATGAATTTTATACAATCATTTAACAACCATTATTTTTACAAACAAAATAAAAATATAAAAATAACTATTAGATTCAAACTAAAAATGTGTAAACATTTCTAATATTTTCACCAAGAGAAACTTCAAAAAAAGCTCCTTAATGTACTTAATGAAAGCATTTACAACCTAAAAAAATTACTTAAATTCATGTGGAAGTACTAAAATGCCTAAAAAAAATTTAAAATAATAATAATCCGAAAGTACACAAATAAAAAGCTAAATAATAATAAATACTATATCAGTATATAAAATAATAGTATAATAACACAACCTGCCACAGTTTTAACATTTCCTTATGGAAACTTTACAGCTTTGATGGGAAAAAACACACTGTTACGTACCGTGTATTAAACAGAGCAGCTTTTATTGCGATGGATATGGCATCAAACAGGTTTCCGTCACACTGCAGAAGCTGCACACATAATTACGCATTTAAATGAATGATAAATTAAGCATATAGATATCAAAATATTTCATAGTATTTAAGGAAAATATTTAATTCAACATTCTCTTCCTGAGAAGTGAATATGAGGATGCTGTGATCACCCTCTTCTGGACGGATATGCGAGTCACTGACCAACACGTCCACATACAGCACCCAGCAGTTCTCTCCCGGGCAGATGCAGAGAGAACGCAGGTCCATGCTGTGTCTGTTGTTGAACACTTTACAGAGTGTGTTACTAAGCTCCACCCCCAGCTCCTCCCCTCCACGCCCCTCAAACTCTGGAGTGGCGTTTGCTGAGCTACAAAAGCAACAACATGTCAAGCATTTCATACTCATTTACTATCAAAATGGTGAGTAAACTGGTGTGACATTAGAATGCATGTCATGAACGTATAAACAAGCATCAGCTATGGATGCTAAATTGCACATTTATACACACTGAAGTCCCTGCACTGGTCAATTACAGCTCCCACTATGTACATACATAGACTAAACTGTCAAATAAATTGCATATTGTCTTATTGAGCATCTCAGTATCGTATGCATTAATCCTTGGAATTTATATGATTTAATGGTTAAATTTTTTTAGTACAAATAAATATGTTCAAAATAAAAAAATGTTCAGAGATGTACTAAATATGGCTCATGGGATAACTTAGTTATTAAATGTTATGTTATAACTATAAATATATTCACTACAGAAATTTCCATAACTTTTCCAGGCCTGAAACCAATATTTGTAATTAATACTAAAACTAATACAAATTGTTACTGTTAATTGAAGTTAAGCTGAAATAAATATAAAATATAAATATTGAATGAAAAACAAATTTAGAAATGTTGCTTTGGCAACTAACTGAAATAAAAGAAGTTTCAATGAAGTACTAAAATTACTACTAAAAAAAATAAACTGTAGCTAAATAGAAAGATTAAAAAAATAAAAATCACAACAAAATGACTAAAATCTTTTACATTAAAAAGACCACCGAAACATATAAAAGCTCATTCAAAATATTAATAAATACTACAATAGTACGTAAATAAAAATATAGCTTGTGCACCTGCACATGCCTTATGTACCAAACTGAGAAATGTCTAAATTGCATGATGATTTTTAAAAGCTATTGCACAGTCATTCTGGTAGTGATTTACAGATGGATGCTGACTAAAATCTTTTACATTAAAAAGACCACCGAAACATATAAAAGCTCATTCAAAATATTAATAAATACTACAATAGTACGTAAATAAAAATATAGCTTGTGCACCTGCACATGCCTTATGTACCAAACTGAGAAATGTCAAAATTGCATGATGATTTTTAAAAGCTATTGCACAGTCATTCTGGTAGTGATTTACAGATGGCTGATGTCTATTTTGCACCTATAAATATGATGATCTCTAAACACTCACCAGCAGTGTTGCCAATTTGGGGATTTTGTCGCCAAATTTAGCTACTTTCTCATTGTAGCTGCGACTTTTTTTTTTTTTGCGACAAGCAGCTATTTTTGCGACAAGGAGCTATTTTAGCTATATTTAAATAAAACTAGCGATTTTTTGGAGATTTTTTCCTTGGCCACGCCCTGCCGTAGGCCCGTGACCGCTCACGTTTGCTCTCAATCATGCCAATGAGTCTGTGCAGTCAACACACCAGTACGCCACGCCTACCATGACGCACACCACAATTTCATTATAAGCATCAATCAAGATGCCGGAGGAAAAAATGAACATCTTGTTTTAACCAAAATTGAATCACAAATCATGCACAGTCATGTCAACCAGATACTGAGAGACACAGTGCATCGTCGTGTCACGTGTACTGGGATGCAGTATTTTGCACTTACTTTGTAGTACCCTGCCGTAGGCCCGTGACCGCTCACGTTTGCTCTCAATCATGCCAATGAGTCTGTGCAGTCAACACACCAGTACGCCACGCCTACCATGACGCACACCACAATTTCATTATAAGCATCAATCAAGATGCCGGAGGAAAAAATGAACATCTTGTTTTAACCAAAATTGAATCACAAATCATGCACAGTCATGTCAACCAGATACCGAGAGACACAGTGCATCGTCGTGCCACGTGTGCTGGGATGCAGTATTTTGCACTTACTTTGTAGTAATAGAGTGTGTTGACTGAAATAAGTTTGTATGAATAAAGTTTTTGTTTTTGGAGAGTCATAATATCTCTTATCTGTTGTATTTGAGCAGGACAGGGATGCACTTCGGTGACACATAAAACATATTCCCCACATTGTGTCTTTTGTCTTTCCATCATGTTTGATGAGCTTGCAGATCACAAGCATTTCCTAATTTCACTTCAGAATTTTTTGTTATATTTTTTTATACTGTTATCATTTGTAAAGTATATATATATATATATTTACTTTCCTTTACCAAATTTACTTGTATTATGTTTTCATATTTGGCGACTTTTTGTGAAAAATGCAGACTTTTGAGGGTGGTTCTAGAGATTTTCTGAGGGAGGGGTTTGGCAACACTGCTCACCAGTCCACAAAGAACTCCAGATAACCTTCATCTGGCACCATGGCTTTGGGTTTACCAATCTCTGCCTTTACTCCTACAAGCACATCTGTGTGACCCTGTCAAACACATCACACAACATCATGAATTACAGAACCGCTGCTGCTATTACTGCACATACAACTGTTTTCTTCCACATACAAGACTGATTTTAGCAGAACCATCAGTGTTTGACACCACATCCGTCTCGATCTCCATGTGTCTGTAGTCTTCACATCCTCGTCCGTCCAATCTCAGGTCATCCTGTCAAAAATATTCAGAATTGAACCCTCATGTTTTGTATGGCGTCTCAGAAAAGTATCAGGTTGATGTGATAACATATCATTTGTTTATTTTCTACAGTGTGTTTCTGCTTAATTGACACCAAGCAGAAAACTGTTTCTATCCTGAATGACAGCCACCTTTCTGAAATCGTTTAATAAAAATAAATGATCAAACGTGCGATTTTACTTACTCGAACTCCATGCATAACATAAACCTTCTCCGCTTCGCTTACTTGAACTGCTGCCATGTTTCAAACGCACGCAGTACACTGTGCGTCATCACAAAGCGCGAGAAGCAGACTGCGAAGGCGGAGCCTGGAGTTAATCGCCCAATCATATGCCAGTGCGTAAAAAGAGGGCGGAAGGATTTGCGAAATTTGTAATCTGATTGGATAAGAAATATGTCAATTCCTACAGCAGGACCTTCATTCAACGCACATGTGTGCTGTGCAGTATATCGTGAATGTGGTAAGAATATTCTATTTCAACAAATGGAAAACGAAATGATTTTGGTTTATACCACATATATAATACGCTTTTTTACAGTAGATTGTAGATCGCTGATAGGTCAGATTTTTGGTTTTGCGTATTCAGTTGTATACTGTAAACATAAAGTGATCAATTGTTATGATTATAATTTTGCAGTATTGCACAAACTGAACCATCATAATAATTTTTGACTCTTTTCAAAAAAACTGTACAGTGTTACTATGATACAGTGATGGTAATACCATGGCAATTTGAGATTCACTATGGCAGGGTTTTTCAATATTTTAGTTTTAATTATTAAGTTTCAATTAAGTTAATTATTAGTTTTTTTCCCCTATCTCATTATAGCACGTTACTGTAAAATTTATTATTTATTTTCTTATTTTAATCTAATTTTTATTCATCTATCTATTTTAATCTACATTTTATGTTAATCTTATTTTTATTATTTATTTCATTGTTATTTTGTGATTCTATCTTATTACATTTTTCTACTCATTATAGTGCTTTACTGCTAGATGTATTATTTATTTTAATCCAATTTTTGTTTATTTGTATATTTTATTTGAATCTTTAATTTGTTGTTTATGTTATTTTTATTTTGTGATTCTATCTGTCTGAGATTATTATTCATCTACTGCTTAAATTGTCTGTTTGATTAGATGGAAAAAAAACAAGCATAAACTTTGAGTCTGTCAACAGACCGAACCAAGATGCTTAGTGACGGTGAAGCTAAAGAACTGCTGTCATTTCTTATTTTGAAGATGAGAGCTGATGTCAAAGGTCAGGCTACGGGATACATCCTGGGCCTCACAGGAAACCGGGATGGGTGCCGGTACCTGCGGTCCAAGCCAGACTTTCTCAAAGCCTTGGTGACTCTAACCTGCGACCCCTCCATCTCCATTGTCAAGGACTGTTATCATGCCCTGATTAACCTCTCAGCAGATGAGACTCTTCACCAGCCTTTGGTCAAAGAGACGGACTTACTGGCCAGACTGTTCCAGAACCTCCTGGACCCGGAATATATGTTTGCAGATCGGATTTGTACTATCCTCAGTAACCTGAGCCGACATGAGCGGACGTGTAGAGATGTGTTCAACACTGTGCAGGAGCAGAAGATCGGACTGGACAAAGTGGTGGAGATCTTCTGCACGGAGGGTTTCAATAAGAAAGCTTCACTTCATTATCTGGGACCGCTGCTGTCCAACCTTGCACAGCTGCCTGAGGCACGACACTTCATCCTGGACAAGGACAAGTAAGCTGTACTATGGCATTATGATGGTAATAATTCTATGGTACTGAATAATTACATTCAAAAAAACACTGTACTAATCATAGCACTATTTTTAAAACCATGGTATTATCATAGTATGTGTAAAAACATGACATTTAATATTATCATGGTAAAGGTAAAAAACATGATATTACCATGGTACATGTTCAGAAACATGGTATTATCAGGGAACAGTTAAAAAAACATGAAATTACCATAGTACATGTAAAAAAAAAAAAAAAAAAAAAAAGTATTATCATGTTATGAGTAAAAAAAACACGATGTTCATAGCACATCTCCAAAAAGATGGTATTATTATGGTATGGATAAAAAAATAGTAATAATAAATAAACATAATATTACCATAGTACATGTTCAAAAGCATGGTATTATAATGGTACAGCTCACAAAAACATGGTATTATTAGAATACGGGTTTAAAAAACATGATATTATCATGGTACAAGTAAAAAAAAAAAACTAAGTAAACCTCCAAAAATATGGTATTATCATAAGTATTAAAAAACATCATAGTACCGTAGTACGTGTTACAAAGCATGCTATTATCATGATACGGGTAAAAGAAAAAGAAAAAAAAACATAATATTACCTTAGCACATGTCCAGAAACATGATATTACTATGGTATGGGTTAGAAAATATGATATTACCACGGTACATGTCCAAAAAAATAGTATTATCATGGTATGGGTCAAACCCCCCCCCACAATATTACCATAGTACATATCCAAAAATATCCAAAAACATATTGTCATGGTACATGTTCAAAAAACATGGTATTACCATGTTATGTGTAAAAATAAAAAATTACCATGATACATGTCCAAAATATGGTATTATTATGGTATTCAGGCCGATACCGATAACAGAAAAAATGAGCATTTATCGGCCGATACCGATATGGCGGCCGATATATCGTGCATCCCTAATGGTGATTGTTTTATATGTGTTTCTACAGGTGTCTTCTGCCGTACACACAGTACGAGGAATCGAGCACCAGGTGAGGAGGGGTGGTGGGAACACTCCGAAATTGCTGCTTTGAATATGGTAAGAGTTATTCATCACAGTTGGTTCAGTAATCTATGGTAATAGCATCTGATAAATGACTACATTTAAATGTAAAGAGCATGTGATTCCCCCCACAATATTACCATAGTACATATCCAAAAATATCCAAAAACATATTGTCATGGTACATGTTCAAAAAACATGGTATTACCATGTTATGTGTAAAAATAAAAAATTACCATGATACATGTCCAAAATATGGTATTATTATGGTATGGGTGAAAAAACATATTACCATGTTTCATCTCCAAAAGCATGGTGTTTGTTTTATATGTGTTTCTACAGGTGTGTGATTCAGAGGCTTCTGCCGTACACACAGTACGAGGAATCGAGCACCAGGCGAGGAGGGGTGGTGGGAACACTCCGAAATTGCTGCTTTGAATATGGTAAGAGTTATTCATCAGTTGGTTCAGTAATCTATGGTAATAGCATCTGATAAATGACTACATTTAAATGTAAAGAGCATGTGATTTGATTGCTGCAAATTTCATCCTTGAAAGGAAAGCCAATGCAAAAACTAGTCAAAGACAAATGAATAAAATGAATTTAATTCTCATTAAACCTGCCTTTTGTCCATACAGCTCATCATGAGTGGTTGCTCAGTGATGCGGTGGATATTTTACCATACCTTTTATTACCATTGGCTGGACCAGAAGAGCTCTCAGAGGAAGAGAATGAAGGTGATGCTTTTGAAATCATCTGGAGGTTTATGCTCTCCTGATCCAAGAACTCCAAATGATTTTTGTTTGTAGTGTAGAAACAAAAAAGCATTAGTGTTCTTTCGTTTGTCCAGTAGGTGGCGCTGTTTACTCATTTTGATGATACACAGGTTGGATGTTTATTGTATTTCCCACAAAGTGTAAGGAAAATGGAAGGAGCAAAGTGGAAATACCATCATTACAGCAGGAGGTTGTGAATTTGCGAAGCCAGAATCTTTGTTCAAAGTTTGCGGTTTCATAAAAGCTGTTTGAAAAGTTTATATACACCATATTTTCCACGTATTCCTCATGCCTTTCTGACCAAAATAGTAGAGAAAGCTTCCTAGTTAATAAGTGACCTTAAAAGACCTTTCTGAAATCCTTTCATAGTCTGTATAACTATAGCCCAAACAAACTTCAATCCATTTTAATAAGAGTATATTTGGACTATATAATTGGCAAGCATGATATTTACTATTTCTTATACTAAAGGTTTGAGATTTGAACAAACCCTGAATGATAGGATTGACAGCTAGCACCACTTTTCCTTCGGAAAATGTTTTAAAGGTGAAGTGTATGATCGTTGTGCCATTATTTTAACAGTAAACAATTACATACTTCACCTTTAACATAAGCATTCATGTAACTCTTACTGATTTTTATTTGCATTTACAGGTTTGCCGGTGGACTTGCAATACCTGCCAGAAGATAAAAGAGAGAGAAGATGATCCTGATATCCACATTAAGAACAAGTAAGAACAACATTTCAAATCTTTCATCAATCAAATCTATCTTATATACACCATATTTTCCACGTATTCCTCATGCCTTTCTGACCAAAATAGTAGAGAAAGCTTCCTAGTTAATAAGTGACCTTAAAAGACCTTTCTGAAATCCTTTCATAGTCTGTATAACTATAGCCCAAACAAACTTCAATCCATTTTAATAAGAGTATATTTGGACTATATAATTGGCAAGCATGATATTTACTATTTCTTATACTAAAGGTTTGAGATTTGAACAAACCCTGAATGATAGGATTGACAGCTAGCACCACTTTTCCTTCGGAAAATGTTTTAAAGGTGAAGTGTATGATCGTTGTGCCATTATTTTAACAGTAAACAATTACATACTTCACCTTTAACATAAGCATTCATGTAACTGATTTTTATTTGCATTTACAGGTTTGCCGGTGGACTTGCAATACCTGCCAGAAGATAAAAGAGAGAGAAGATGATCCTGATATCCACAAGATGCTCTTAGAAACCTTGATGCTCGTAAGAACAACATTTCAAATCTTTCATCAATCAAATCTATAATTTTCCTGTATTGAAGTTATTGACAACCGTTCAAATGTTTGGGGTCTGTAAGATTTTTAAATGCTTTTGAAAGTCTCTTTTGCTCACCAAAGCTGCATTTATTTGATCAAAAATGCAATAAAAACAGTAATATTGTAAAATATTATTGCAATTTAAAATAACTGTTTTCTATTTGAATATATAAAAAAAAGTAGTTTATTCCTGTGAAGCCAAGCTTCATTGGCTTCAAGTCTACAGAGTCACATGTTCCTTCAGAAATCATTCTTATATGCTGATTTGCTACTCAAGAAACATTTCTTACTATTATCAATGTTGAAAACAGTTGTGCTACTTAATATTTCTGTAGAAACTGTGATACTTTATATGCTGATTTGCTACTCAAGAAACATTTCTTACTATTATCAAAACAGTTGATAACAGTTGTGCTACTTAATATTTCTGTGGAAACTGTGATACTTACAGTCATGTAACACCAGCTATTTTCGTTGCCTAGCAACGTTGTTACCCAGGGAGTAGATCTTCTAGCGGCAGGGTGGTAATGCATTCATTTTTAATAAAATAACGTTTATATGTATGTACAACAAGGTTCATAGTTGCGGTTCTGGTGGGTCAATAAAGCGTTACAGCCGCGATAAATGCGTTATGACGTGCAAAAATTGTTCCCATCGCTGCGCGAGACACCCATAGGGGGTCGCTATTTTTGATGCAGAAGGGTCCTTCCAGCCGGAAGGAAGGTAATTGTTGCATTTACTAAAGCATTTACTAAATAAAATAACGTTTGTAATTACATTTCTGAATGAAAATCTGTTTGTAATTGAAAATTTTTTTTTTATTTTATTTTAAAGATGATAAATGGCATAAGAATATGAATGAAAAGAATCTACATAACTGGCAGAGTGTTATTGAAAGTCATTTATCTGTAAAGCCACAGGTGCCCGATGCAATAATATTCATTCTTCTGACAGGCTGGTGAGTTTTAAAATGGAGATCCAGGTTTGATGAGGCCCTCTGCTGAGTGCCGTGTATGTTGGCAGTATTGAGGCGAGATGTTGAGCAGGTGGTAAGAGAATTAACCAGGAAGCCCAGAGAAAGCAGATGGATGTATGCCACTGAAAACAGATTCTACAGCAGGCCAGCGCAAACCAGGAAGAATAACAAATTACTTAAAATCTGTCAAAATAACACTATTTAAATAAGTGTCCACTGGGGTTATCATCACATCGCCGTGGTCCACATTTTGAGATGCCTCATTCAAACTTCAACAGAAGAGGTCAAATTTTACATCTTCAAACCACAAAAAATATGAAAGAAAAGCAATTTGAGGTTAAACCATGCTTTAGACTAGACTAAACTGCTTAAAAGCCATAAGGTTGTGGTCCATAAATGGTGTGACGCAAGCAACTGAGAAAAGGTGACACACTTTGCTCTGATGACGCGAGTAACAATAAGCCGTTTTGGAGAAGCTGTAGTTCACAAGCTACTGGCTACTAGTAATTTAAAGTTTGAAAAACCACATTTAAGATCTTTTAAACTCATTCACCAAGCTACTAGAAATTTAAAGGGATAGTTCACCCAAAAATGAAAATTACCCCATGATTTACTCACCCTCTAGCCTAGGTTTATATTACTTTTTTCTTTCAGGCAAATAAAATATTAATTAATAGTTATATTAAAGGGGTCATATGATGCGATTTCAAGTTTTCCTTTCTCTTTGGAGTGTTACAA